AACTGTCAAGTTTGAGATGAATCGATGCTAAGTCATCGGGGAAATGATATCTTTATCATCTCCGAGCTGTGGTCAACATAAATATAGTGCAGAGGTTTAACCAAAATTTATATATATATATATTAAAAAAATAGGTTATGCAACGAAATGTAAGCAAACATCATAACCGAATGAAAGCGGAGGATTTCACGTAAAGGATAAGGAAAACAAGGAAAATTGTCCTCTATTTTTGCAAGACTGAGAGAACTAGTAACGGACGTAAAACTAAAACGTGTCCAGGAAGTCCAGCATTATATTTGGTAGCCTTTATTGAAACACTCCAATTCAGTCGTTCATAATTCTAGATAGGAAAATGCACATAGGTATTTAAACGATAAGTTTATTTATTCGTATGATGCTTGACTTATACAGTGTATCAAATATTACGGCTTATGCATTACGGCTAGACTTCATAACATCATCTGTGGTCAGATAAGAGACATGTAACCATTTCAAATTTTAAAAGTTTGTATTACATTCCTGTTTTAAAAAATTGTAGCACCATAAAGGAGTCATAGAAAATGTATGAAATTTATTCCACGACTGTGATGATACGAAAGAAAACAAAAAGCAATTAAATATTCAGAGCACTTTCTGCTCTGAATCAATCAAGTTTCGAATTCATATCTGAAGAATATCAATCGATATTGCTTTTATCCGATTCGGAGGTTCATCTGTATTGTCTGCAAGATGAGTGTTAAAGTGAATTGTAGACTCATGAAAACCCAGAAGCGGTATCTGACATGCTGAGAAGAAGGCTTGAATATCTCTAACCATTACATGGACGGTTATTGTCTTGTTGAAACTACACCTCTAAAAGCTTTTAAATGAAGGCTATTACTGTGGGCTTCACAGTTTCCCAGATGTAGCAGTTGCTGATGAGAATACCTTCATTTCTTAACAGATTAGATTATCCATCATATACAGCGACTCCTCAAACCATCACGCTTGGAGATCACTTTATATGAAGTTAAATAATAGTGTTTGGGAGATGACGCAGTTGCTGATGAGAATACCTTCATTTCTTAACAGATTAGATTATCCATCATATACAGCGACTCCTCAAACCATCACGCTTGGAGATCACTTTATATGAAGTTAAATAATAGTGTTTGGGAGATGACGTTCGCTCTCATAACCTTTAATGTCTAGCATCAGTAGCAGGATCTACTTCAGAAGCCAGATTCAAAATTCGGAAAAGCCGATCTGTTGCCAATCGCCACGCTAGTAGCTGTGTTGATGAATCCGTTGTAGTCACAGGCGTCGATGCTTTTGCCTCAGGAGATTTCTGCTCAAAGAAATGCATGCACACAATACACTTGCATGCACGCCATATAGCAGACATTAGCAAACGGTTGAAGCCGACAAAGGTATATTTGCAGAAGTGCTCCATCGTTGTGACAAGCGTCAAGAGGAAGCTGCATACTCCATCACCATCACGTAGATGAGGTGTCTGTCATCTCGTGTTGACGTAACGTGGACCATTGCGAAGTCTGCTACTTGTACTTTTCTCTTCAGTCCATTGTTTGCACACGTACATCACTAACGAGGCATTATGTCCCATACAAGCTGCTATTTTACAATAGAAAAATTGTCATTCTCATAGGGAGTTTTAATAGTTACGCACTTTGAAGTGTGGTAAATGATTTCATTTACCACTGTTCAAACGGTCTAACTTACTCAAACTGGTCTCTTTGTAGTTGCAAATCACAGTGACTTCTTATGAAATGTTTACTGTTGGTAGACCACGAAACATTGCTTTTAAACGTTCCACTACAGTCCTCTATTTATGTGTCTAAAACAACAGATCAGAGGGAGCTGCTCATCCAACGCGTGTGCTATCATTCTGAAATTCCAATCATTTGCACATTTTACATTTCCTGTAAGTTTCAGTTTATTAGAAGAATTCTTTCATGGTACAGCTGTTTTCACAAACAAGAACATATTTCAACAGATTTGTTTTTTTATTTGGTTCCATTGTCTCTATTATTATAACAGGTCGTATGCCAAGTGCAGTAGTATATCAGGGCACGCAATAAACAGAAATAAGTTTACGGGGGTTTCAACCACACGGGAGATACTTGAGCGTCATCATATTCATATGTAATAATCAAACATTTGTAGAAATGAGCATTAGTATTTTCACATTTCTAAATATGCTGCTTATTGTTAAAATGGAGTGAAACGTTTTCGAAAGTAAGTGTTACGATAAAGCGCGTTGTAAATACAGCAATATTATTAAACATATTATTTTAAATATTCACAACTAAAAATGCTCTGACTAAATTGGGTATTCATTAATTTACATCATAGTTTCTCAACCTGTGGTACGCGTACCCGTAGTGGCACGTGAAATGGTCTCAGGGAGTACGCGAAAAAAATGTAAAGGTGGACATTGATTGTGCGATTGAATATAAGAGAAAATATAAAAGGCTGTTGTAACAACTAACATTTCCAATCCAAATTATATTTCATTATGAAAAATATAAATCATTAAACTGAATATGAAATAATTTTTACGTTAGAAAGACATGAATGTTTTAAATTCAGATTAGTACACAATTTATCTGCAAGACCAGTACCTGTCTACAGGGATAGAACCGACACCGGACAGTAATTGGTATACTTCAATAATCCTTATACTAAGCGGTAGGGCAGTAGGGTTTTCTGTAATAAAATTTTATTACTGAGAAGAATCTGGGATAATCCCATTGTTAGTCGTCGAATTGGTTGTAGTTTGTCTTTTTGTTTGTCAAGATGTTACAAACCGTACTACAAATACGATATTTATACGATAAAACTTTCTGTAGTGTTAAATTGGATCGGATATAGTACGTACATTGTACTATAATTTTAATGCAAACTGTGTCTTGTATTTACAAATTATAATAGCATATAGAATGCTCTAAAATATTGCCATCAAATTATAGTTCGAGAAACTACTTGCACAGGCATCTAACAATCAGTAGTCGAAATGATCTACAATACATCTCAATAAGTTTGGTAATACTGCTTTATCTGTCTCTCTATTTTTATCAGCATAATTTTTTTGTAATCAGTTAGTGCTATAGTTTTATAGTTATTGTGACTTGAATTTTTTCAGCATGGGTCAATGTTTAAAATTTGGTATTATTAAGAAAAGGAAAATTATTGAAATAGTAAAGGATCCCATTACATCATCAGGTACCAGTTCTTGCGAGTGGCAACCTAAGGAGAAGTTGTAGCATATTAGTGAAATAAAGCTTCAGTTTCGAAGCCGGGAAAAGTGAGAAAGTATTGCGAAGAATATTTGCCACATGGATATTGATTCTTAATTTATAAGGTATTTCATCCGCCTTCTTAGCGTGCCTTCATGGTGTGGTGGTCTACACGCTAGAAGCATATTCAAGAGGTCCGTGGTTCGATTCCCGGCGAAAGCGTTGCCCATTTTTCATCATTCCTGCTTCCAAAATACCTAATGGCTCTACAGTGGCACCCGAACTAAAAGGGTGGTGATGATGATTCTCCCCACCCAGGATTTGGCGACTGAGTCCCCTAAAAACCCCAGTCGCCCTTCAAAAGGGGGAGTATATAAGGTATTTCTGCCGCGTTCTTAGCGTGCCTTCATGGTGTAGTGTTCTACAAGCTGGGCGCGTATTCCAGAGGTCCGTGGTTCGATTCCCGGCGGAGTCCTTGCTCATTTTTCATTTCTCCGGCTCGAAATAATCTAATGTCTCTACAAATTATTGAAAATATCTCCAGATTTGAATGCTGCTTGTGAAATAATGTTTAACAGAAATACAAAGCCTTCAATACTTACTCGTCATTTGCAAACTAAACATCAGATTTCAAAGACAAATATGTGACATTTTTTAAATGTTTGCTCCAAAATAAAAATATTTACAATATAGAATTACACAATTATAAATATTTACTATAGAGTTATATATATACAATTATAAATATTTTACAATATAGAATTATGTGTATATATATATATATATACAATTATAATATTTACAATAAAGAATTATATCATACAATTATAAATATTTACAATATAGAATTATATGTATACAATTATAAATTAATTATATATATATATACAATTATAAATATTTACAATAAAGAATTATATACATACAATTATAAATATTTACAATATAGAATTATATGTATACAATTATAAATATTTACAATATAGAATTTGCAATTGAAAAATATTTACAATATAGGATATACAATTGCAGGTGTCTTCTGGTTGTACTTCGCCAGAAACAGTAAATATATCAAGATTGGTGAAAATTTCAATCTTGCCCAGCATTAAGGATGCAATTTTTGTATATTCAGTAATGAATATGTTCACAAAATTAATGCTATCCCTCTCTCCAATGGCACGATCTCTCATAGAAAAGCAAAAAATTAGGATAATATGGAGGAGACGATGATAAAAGAAATCAATAATATTAAATATTTTTCAATTCAAGTTAATGAGAGTACTGATGTAACACAATTGGCTGTTTTGATGGTTATTGTAAGGAAATAAATTTGCAAAATGAGTTTTGCTTACTCATCGCATTTCTGAAAATAAGGCAGATGGAGATATTTTTTTGCATGATTCTGTATTTAAGTGTTATTTTTGCTCTTGTACAAGTAGATGTTAGTAATTATACATAAAGGGGTGGAGTTGGGATACGTAGAATAGTGATGATAGGTCAACGAAAGGTTGGGAAATGCTGAATTATTACATCCTAAATTTTTTTGCTTATATTTTCTTGGAAAGCTAGGTTATTAAATAAAATTAAGCTACTAAGAAATAGAAAGCTTTCTGCCCTGAAAGATGAGTGTCATCTTACTAAAATATTTAGGAAGAAAGTTTCCCTTATCTTTGCCTTTCAGCTAAATTTAGTTACATGCAGAAATAATCCATTCTTCCTAGCGTGTTTTAATGTGATCAATTCAAGATGAAATGCAAATACAAATTTAATACATAAGTATACTACTTTTTAATAACTTTATGTAGTAAATAAAATTCAGATTCTCAACTCTTCACAGAAAGACAATAAAGATATAAATAAGTCAGTGTAAACCAATCACATTATTATAACTTTTCTTTTACCCCAGCTCCTTCAAAGGCTTGAGAAAAATATATGATTGCAGATGTTGATGACGATGTCTATAAATGCTGATATTACAGGTAGAGATATGCGTGCACAATCGCATTCTGTAAAGAATTCAATCTGCTGTATAATGAAAAACACTATTTTTTCAATGTTCACAGATTTCTTCGCTATATTAAAAATAGTTATAACTTTGTGACGATGAATTTTAAGCATATAGTTCTGTCTCTTCAAAAATGTGGTTCCTTATGTTATACATTTTAATTCAGATACAAAATTATGAAGATTAAAATTGACATTTCATTGTAAACATATGATAGTTGTATATGTTAAGCATATGTTAACAAAATGTGGTAATATTTCTGAAGTCTCTCAAGGAAGCCATGTGCTTTCACTTTACAATAAATTGGTCTGAAACGTATTATTCGTTTAAAAGAATATGTGTTTATCGTTATTTCTAAAGCAAAGTTAGTACAGCACTTCCTGACATATAAGTTACTGACATATACTTTCTGAATGTAACAGTCTTGATAAATGAAAAAAAGGGCAATGTGAATTTTCTTTCGAAGTAAATAATATGTTAAGCAAGAGCACAAAATTCTTGAGAAGAATAATGTAGATGACAGCAAAATAACAGTTGCAATGGAGCAAACTATTAGTCGATGATTATTTGAAGCATGTGCTGAGAATATTATGCATTTTAAATAAAAGCAAATGTTGATAATTTCACTGACAGCCATAAACAAATTTCAGACTAAGAATAGATAATTTACTTTTAACTTCAAAGAAACATTTTCGTATTAGCAGACATCCTTAGTGACAAGTGGAGTATAATGCTTTCTCTTTCTAGATAAACACAGTGACGGATACCTTCGGAGACAGTGCATGAAAAATTTGTTTGTAGGAATTAAATTAGCGCTAAGATTTTCCTTATTTTACTTTGCTGATATTGAGCATATTTTAAAACCAAAAGCTTTGCACCTAAGTTTGCTACAGATATAAGTATAATATATACAAATTTTAAAATATGCCATTGGACAAATTTGCTCTCACCGTTTTATATTCAAATGTAATCTTGTAAACATAATATTACCTGCATCATAAAGCTTAATCACTGATGTCTGATTAAAAGGCTTTTGAGGTTTCATTTTTGAGTAAACATTTGTTATGGCATATAAGTTTCTCTGTTATGTTAAGACAGTTGTATCATAAGCCTTCCTATCATTTAAAAAAGGTAGTTAAGCAAGTGAAAAGTTAATGTCAGATTCAATATAATATAATCACTAAAATTTCATTTGCGGATTACAAATTATTAATAAGCATTTTATACATACTAATTACTGAAAATGTAAAATTGATTCTTGGAAAATCTCTTGCTCTTGCTTCAGATATAGACATGTCCTTAATAATTGTCGAAATAAAAGATTTATACAAAAATTATAATATTATATTTTCTCCAGTTATTTTTAATCTGATATAAAATATATATCGAAATACGAATGCACTATCATATGCATATGTCTTGCTCGGACGGCCTAGGGTAATACCTTATAAATTGAGCTATGCGATGTTATATTGCTTCATAAGATGAGATGAAATCTTGCTCCTTGTCTATATCGTTTAAAAATGATTGCTGTATTTCTCTGATAGGCTTTTTCTTGGTTTCAGGAAGACATAGCCAGCAAAATAAACAGCCTAAAAGAGAGAAAAATCCATATACCCAATATACTCCATAATCAGAGACGAAAGTTCTCAAGTCATCAAAAGTTTTTGTCACAATAAACAAAAATGCTGATGAAAATATACCGGCTATTGCCAAAACTGCACTTCGACTGTGAACTGGTACAAATTCTGGAGTCATTAAATATGGTATAGGTCCAAATCCTAATGAAAAGGAAGCTACGAAAATGATAAAGCCAGCTAAAGGTATCCAACCAAAAACTGTTTGGTTTAAAACATATTTCTTATAAATGATGCCATAAACTCCAAGTATTAACAAACCAACTGTTACAAAAACCCCAGATACGAGATATAACTTTCTGCGCCCAGCTTTATCCATAAGAGTGCTACCTATTAATGTCGCAATTACTTGCACAGCAGCTATTACTGCTGCTGCTATTGAAGGATCTAAAGAACTTTCGGCATGTTCAAATATCTCGACAGTATAAGCCATTAATGCACTTACACCTGAAAATTGCTGGAAGAACATTAAAGCAATAGCCAGTACTACAGGCTTATACAATTGAGGTTCTTGAAATTCTTGAATGGAGATAGTTTTCTGCATTTCTTCAGCTATATGATCCACAGTGGCGCTGTATTCTCGAATTGAGTCGAAATCTCTTCCTTTTAAGAATCGAATGCTTTCAAAAGCTTCCGAGTCTCTGCCTTTTGCTAATAACCACGCAGGTGACTCCGGCATGAAGTACATCAGTAAGGAAGCAACTGCTGTGATTAAAGCTCCTGTAATGGCTAACCACGACCACCTAAGAATGATACCGAAAGACATCATTACTAAAACTCCTATTGCATAATACAGTTGGAAACAAGAACCTAGTAATCCCCGTATTTCAAGTGTTGCAATCTCTATAACGTAAGCTGGAACTGCAACTGAGCAAGCTCCTATACATAGTCCAGACAAAAGTCGTCCAACATAAATCCAGTGCATAGATGGGGCGTATGCAATAATTAACCAGCTTGCTAAATATGGCCCAGATACATACATCAGCACAGCTTTCCGTCCTAGCTTAAATGAAAAATAACCTGTGAAAGAAAATAAAGTTGTAGTAAATTGTAATGTAAGCAGATAATATCATTTTAAAAATAAGGAATTTTAATTTTTCTGCTTGGTGGTCTACAATATATATGATACTATTTTTCGCTATATGTTACATTTGTAACTATGTTTAGCCCAACAACGGCCAATGACCGTTGTGCATTGCTCATTCTGAAGTTAAATTCTCGGTGGCTAAATGGGCTGGCTGCAGGCTCGTCGTTTGCTTTCCATGTGTAAAGGGAATAGAAGACAGTAAGTACTGTGTAGGAAGTCTACTAAGTAGGATCTCTCACTCGATAAATATCCTTTGACGTTTTCCCTAAATCATTAAATTATTACCTACCGAAAGCTATTCTGTACCTGATATGAGCTTCGGTTTTTTACGCATTGCCGACATAAGCAAGTGTGACGGTTGTTTTCTTTTCCTTAACTTTCGGTTAGGCTAACCTTTCCCTTATTCGTAGTGTTCATCGTTTTCAATTCGCACTTAATAAATAATCTATTTTAATTTTTTATCATCATAACCACAAATTTATATCAGTGTTAATAATGGACAAATATCAGATTTAATCTAAAACTCATCCCGAATTAAAATTATACGAAGATTTAACCGGAACTAAATTTCTGTCGAATTTAGATCTATTCCTTTCCTTTCCCCAAATTGAGACACTGTGGAAAATAGAATATGGTATTTTGAAACAATCCGCACATTTACTCAACTCCGTCCACTGTTGGAAAAATAGCTAAATTCGTGGGGCACGTAATGTTTCATGTCTCGAAGTAGAACCATGGGTTCGTTTTTATACACGGAACACTCTAGCTTGACGGATGTTTTTCTTATTGTTTTCTTACAGATAATAATTGAAATAAAATTTTTATAATTTTATTTTGGTAAATAACACTCTTCGCTATACTGTTTTATATACGCAAGTGTGCATGTGGTCGAAAATGAAGAGTGACAAAACTGAATAAATTTTGGATAACGCTTGCTTACCTGAAGAATACAAATCACGAAAGGTAATAAGGCATTCGAGTTTTTTATAAGGGGGCGGGATGAGAGTGAATCTTGAAATACAATCGCCTTTCCACCGATAATCGATTCCGTGATCTTTTATTTGCTAGCTGGGTTTTCTGACTATAGTACTTCAAGGAAGAATGGCTTCAGAGGCTATAGCCAGAGCACCATTCAGGCAATCCTTGAATTTTCACCCTTGATACGATGCACCAAAAATGCTACAGAACGTCGGAACAAGACATAGAGGAATAAAGTAGTACACTATGTATATTTTTGAAATAAAAGTTTTAATTTCAGTACCCTAAAAGGGTATCAAAATTCCTTGCCGTTATCAAAATTATCGATGATGTTATCGAAATCTGTTTCATGACGCAATTGCTCTTTTACCCACAGTGTGATAAAACAACATAATTGCAAGGTTTTATGCGTAGAACTTTGGCGGTTCTTGATCAACGTTTACTTAAAAACCTCCTTTCAGAGAAAGGCCCCTTACAATGATTAAAATCGCTAAATACTGAGAGCTCGGCCTGGGTTCGATCCCAAGCGAACGGACCAGCTACGTAATTGATTTTCGTGGCTTTCGCCATGTGTACCATGAATACGAACTAGTTGCCTTTAGAACGTCATCCACGAAGACACCCCTTCCCTTAGATAGATAGCCCTCGTGTGCTTTGACCATATGCAAATAACCTAACATAACCTAACCTTTTGCGACTAAATACACTCGCAAACCTGTGAGGAAATGGTGGCCATGCTGACATTCTAATGGAGTTTATTGTCGCACTGCCTGTGCACGCACTTGTCCTCTAACACACGAGTCAAATTCCTCACTTAAGGTACGTGACGTCGCTGTGAGATCCCTGACCGAGAAGACATGAGGTCTGTCCTCTAGGACGTCAGCAGTCAAGGGCCGTGACAGTTTGCATGGCGTTCAGTATGACCCTTCTGGACCGTCGATTCCGTAATTACCTGAAAGTCATGGGATCCAAACCAACATGAGCAGCAATGTCGTGGAACGATAAACCACAAAGTAAAGGGGAATACGTAAAGAGGAAACGTAAAGGGGCGGACATAAAGGGAAAACATAAGGATGTTGGCCGTGGTGACAGTCTATGGTGCTTGTTGTTGCCCTACCTGTGCACACACTTGTCTTCTAACACACGAGTCAAATTCCTGACTCAGGGTACTTGGCGTGACTGTGAGATCCCGCAAGGCCGAGATGACATGAGGTCTGTCCTCCAGAGCCGTGAGAGTTTGCATGGCGTTTAATATGGCCCTTCTGGACCATCGATTCCGTAATCACCTGAAAGTCATGGGATTCAAACCAACACGAGCAGCAATGTCGTGGAACGATAAACCACAATCCCGATATTCGATAATCTTGGCCGCGGTCGAATTTTGCAGCAGTTTCTCCTTCTTACCCGAGACACAGCATGATCTTTACAAAAACTACCAACGTTCAAACACGATTTCCAGATGAAAACTCCGTTGTGTAGTCATCCTATTTATGAACAATGTAGGTGGCATTATTTATATCTGCTTTTTGCGCATGAGCTGGAAAGCTAATCGTTTGCATAGCCCAACCTGTAGTAGCTTTCATAAAAATTTGACGTTTGTTGTATGCCGCCTTCATGACGTAAAAATTTTAATAGCCAGTAGTATAAGCGCTTTATAATCCTTGAGTCTATTGTATATGATATGCCTTTCGAATGCGAGCGTTTTGCTGAGAATATCGTTTAAACACTTAGTATAACAACAGTAAGGTATTGGGTTTCCATTTATAAAAATATCTTCAGTTTGATTTTAATTGTTTCGCGGTTTAGAAAAATTACCACAGTACCTTTTGTGGCATTTACTGAAGATTTCTATATTTTGCATCAGTTCATGGTACGAGAAAAACTATTCTTATGTATTAACACTGTTCTACTGGGCTTTAACGATTTGGCAGCCGTATCGTCAGCATTAGTAAGTAGTGATGAGACTATTTCGAATCGGAAAATAATCTATATAAAAACCATTTATAAAATGCCATCTATATAAAATAGGTCCAAGATAAAGCCTTGTGAAGCTCTAAACCTTGTGTATCTTAATATTAGAATAATTGGTAGAAATTATAGCCAAAAAATTTCTTTCTTTGTAAATAGATACATAGAATTTTGATGGCAGCCACTATGAAGAATTTGGAAAATAGTCATACAATATTAGCTTATAGCTCATGATGCTCAAATGAATCATCTTTTTTTGAAACACAGCATTTTTTCTGTACACGATGCCAGCACCTTTGCAATGGGAAAGTTCTATGAAGGCGTTTCAACTGCTTTATTTTTGCGATGAGTATGTACTATGTATGTATGTATATCAAATTCTATAATTTCGCGGAGAGTATCTTTTCTTTCAATACCTCTTAAAATACTCTAGATCTTATAGTTTTCGGATATTAATAGTACATTTTTTTCTTTGCAGGTAGGGGCAAATAATGTCAAAAATTTTTATTAAACGATGAAAAGAAGTGATTAAAAAGATATCCATTTGAGAATACATACATTTCAAAATGAATATATTGATTGATTTCAACTTCTCCTCTTTAACTGCATTTGATATAAGTATTTATTTATTTATAATTTTTGATTACTTATTTTTTATTTATTTTTCTATTATTTGAATTACTTATTTTCACACTTTTCTTGCTTGATTTCAAATTGAGAAACAGGGCATAGAAGTCTCTTTTTCTAAACTCTCATCTTTTGCAAATTGTCCTACACGTCAAATACAGTGCAGTTGTGGTTTGACTTCTTTCCTCTCCTTATGAAATCCCCATTCGTTAACTTTCCATAAACTACATATCCGATGATTTTTTTTTTCCTCGTGTTCATCTGGAATGACTGCATGTACTCAGCTTTATGGATCCAGAATTTGAAAGGAAGGCTAAAGCCTCTTGGTTTTTACCTCTCGTTGTTTAAAATACAGAGTTATTTCAAAAATGTTTATATATCTGATAGCAGTACCTTAGTAAGAGCAACAATAATCTAAGCTATAAAATATGTAGCAATAAAAACCCAAATAGGACATTTATATGTAATAAAAAACTCAATAGTTGAAAGTGGGAATGTAAAAAGGAGACCGAAATGACTTATCTTCCGGACAAACATAAAAATCTAATAAACTATAGATCCCTCATTTCGATCCAAACATTATTTCTCTTTGATCAGAATGGTGTCCAGGGCAACAGAAAGAACTCCCAAATGTGTCGCTGTATGTTTTTAGGTCAATGGTTCGATTCCAGGATTCGGAAGTGTATTTTTCTAGAATAGTAGCTAGAATAGAAGATTATCTTGTATAGCATACTATCATCTATATTTAGCTGGAAAGCTAATCATTTGTATCCATTGTTCCAGTACTCGTAAGAAATTACGCAAACAAGCTTAAAAGTAGCTCTGCTTTTTATAATGAAATTAGTTATTCATATATACCACTTGTTTATGCTTCACATATGAAGGTATGGGCTTACTTGGATTACTGCAAAGCACGCGAAGGCATCTCCTTATCTCCTTTAGGAAAGAGATGCCTTCGAGGAGGTCTTTTGTAGGGAAAACTGGCTCGCGCTCACGTCACACCTAAGAAAAACCACGAAAACTTCCATGCAGTCAGCATGTTCTCCGATATTTCAACCCAAATTGAACTACCAGTGTTCAACTGTTTTACTGGTTTGCGCCTGGAAGGCCTGTACTCTTGAAAGAATTGTAGAATACAAATAAGAGTTATTCATTGTCAATAATGAAAACAGAATATTAGTAGTTTCCAAGTATTTATTACGTCATTGGTTGTATGTTTTAGGGGCCGAACTGTGATAAATTAAAACTTGCGATAATGAGTTTCTAATGAGAACAAGATGAATGCTAGAAGCAAGAGAGAAGAAAGCTAAAGAGAAGTATAGTATTGAAAAATATAATGTCCTCTTGGACCTACATACGAGTATATACGAGTATATAAAACTTACATACGAGTATATAAAACTTTGGAACTATATACAAAACCTCTTGGACCACTATTAGCCGAAATCTCTTACCAACAAATTTGTGACTGTCAAACTGATTTGTGTACCCAGAGTACAGCGTTTTCTTATTATGAGAATATTCGAAAGATACTAAAGGAGCCATATTTAATTGCATCAGTTCAAAATTAGAGTGCAAATACGCCAAGAAGCTGTACTGGCCGTGTTTTAGTTGGTGTTATGTTTCATCTTCGCTACAGATTCTTATTATTCTGCTTGCATTTCGAAACTTATGAAACTTAAGGCAAATTCAAGTGATTTCCACCGCCGATACTGAATCATCAGACACACAGGTGCGATTATATAGAAGGATCAAAGAGACTATGACTAATTAAAACGTACTGACATGAAAAGAGGAAATTATTTTTAACATTTAAAGTACGTAGTTTTTGAAACTTTAGAAAGACCTCTAATGATGCACCTGCTTTATTTCCATATTAACTAGTTTTTATGGCAAACTTTCTGAAAGCAAGGGATAGAAAAAGAGAAGCCTTTTTTTTTCTAAAATCAAAGCTATCCAAAATTAGAAACATGAAAATCAGGAAGGATATCTTGCAGATTTCTGAGAGGCCCATGATCCCTATTAGTGTCCGAATTGTTAAGATCGCTAAATATTATTAGTTCGACTTAGACTCGAAACCATGTGAATGGGTAGGCTGTATAGATGGTTTTTCCCATATGTAATAGCGTGAATATGAACTTATTCTTATTAGTCTTATTAGTCTTTCTTAGAAAGTTCTCCACAAAGGCATTCCTCCATTTAAGCAGATAGCTGTCGAATACTTTGCCATATTCAAGTAATTTGCCCTCTAATGATCAATTAAATTCTTATCATAATATTTCATGAGAATGATCGTTTTCTGAAATTAAGCAACTGACAGGTAAAGCTTCATTTAAAGCTGCATTAAATAAGTCTGAATCTGGTTATATGGTAATGCTTTCAAAAGCGTAATGTCGAACTTACTTTCTACGCTTCAGCCTAACTGGACTGCTACTTGCTGCTCTCTTCTAACTGAAAATCTATCAAAATGTAAACGGTTTGACATAAGTACGAGTAGTGTGCCATGTTGTTTGGGAAACGCAAAATGTCTACTGAAAAAAAAAATGAATATTTAATCTGTCTTGGCTGCCAGTTTCCTATTCATTATGAATCATCAACATTCTACGCAATCAAAATTCTTGCCTCTCATTATGGATGAACATTCGACATTCTACGAAATCCAATATCTTCAATATCAGTTATCATGTTATCAGTGTTTCTACAACATCATTACATCTAAGTCTGCTTCATTGCATATATATAAACGAAAAGTATATTTGGAAAATTATTTACTTTTCGAAATATTATATGCAAGATAAAAACTATCTGAATCAAAATTATAATTTAAACTAACGGTAACTCTTTAATTCTCCCCCTCTGTTCTAAAACTCGTAATAACTTCCCTGGATTGCGCCATTTCTAGATCATTCCATTTTGCATAGCCTGCGCAGCGCTGATGACGTTGGGAATTGAAACTTCAACTAAAACCAAAACCATATTCAAGTAATTTGCCCTCTAATGATCAATTAAATTCTTATCATAATATTTCATGAGAATGATCGTTTTCTGAAATTAAGCAACTGACAGGTAAAGCTTCATTTAAAGCTGCACTAAATAAGTCTGAATCTGGTTATATGGTAATGCTTTCAAAAGCGTAATGTCGAACTTACTTTCTACGCTTCAGCCTAACTGGACTGCTACTTGCTGCTCTCTTCTAACTGAAAATCTATCAAAATGTAAACGGTTTGACATAAGTACGAGTAGTGTGCCATGTTGTTTGGGAAACGCAAAATGTCTACTGAAAAAAAAAATGAATATTTAATCTGTCTCGGCTGCCAGTTTCCTATTCATTATGAATCATCAACATTCTACGCAATCAAAATTCTTGCCTCTCATTATGGATGAACATTCGACATTCTACGAAATCCAATATCTTCAATATCAGTTATCATGTTATCAGTGTTTCTACAACATCATTACATCTAAGTCTGCTTCATTGCATATATATAAACGAAAAGTATATTTGGAAAATTATTTACTTTTCGAGATATTATATGCAAGATAAAAACTATCTGAATCAAAATTATAATTTAAACTAACGGTAACTCTTTAATTCTCTCCCTCTGTTCTAAAACTCGTAATAACTTCCCTGGATTGTGCCATTTCTAGATCATTCCATTTTGCATAGCCTGCGCAGCGCTGATGACGTTGGGAATTGAAACTTCAACTAAAACCAAAACCTCTCTTCGTGTGCTTCCACCATTGCATAACTACGCACTTCAGCTTCGCTCTCTGCTCTGTTTGGACGTAATTTCGCTATGCTGCTTCCTATTGTGACAACATCAAAAATATAAATATTCTTGAATAGGCACAACTAGAGTACCAAGTGAACTGTGGCTACAAACGTTAACTGGATTTTAAAAATGGAATTAAAACCGCTTCGACCGCCAAGTTTTTTAGATATTGCCAGGTCAACATATTAGTATACTACGCAATCAGAATTCTTCCTCTTCAATATGGATCTACGTACGCATCAACACTGCTCGGTCTTTACCTTGTTGTTATGTCATATATATACATATAACCACTTTTTTTCTTTTTCTCTTCTTGTAATTGCAGTGGTTCTAATTTCTGTTGCTCCATTTTAATCATGCGTCACTTTATGATTAATTGTTTGCGCTTGCTTAGTTACATAATGCTGAGTTATGAAACAAAAATATTAGTCACAGAACAAAAATGATCTAATCCTAATTTTGCAAAGCTGTACAGTTTTGTAACTATCTTCCCCTCATCTCCAGTTCTCTTTATCTATCTTCTTATCTCTCTAATTATCTAAAATGTCGTAGAATCTGCCACATTATCTAGCCATACTATTACGCAAGTCCATCACAGATGATAAAATAAATACCAGAAATTCACATACCTGTTTAATGTAAAATATTAACTGATTTACATTGTTAACTATTCGGCAACCGTTATCAAACTGTGTCATGGCAAAGTTCGTCCCCCTACCTCTTTCGGGAGGGATGGGGTAGAGAAAGAGGCAAACTTTCGTGTCTGCAAAGCTTTCAACATTTGCACTGGGTTAGGGCCATTCCCAGGCACCCACATCTGAACGGACGTTCAATCGAAACATTCTTCCAGTAAAATTGAATAACCCTAGATTATTCCAGCTTTTAGGAAATATACAAGCGAAATGATAACTGACAAATCTACGCTGCTAAAAATTTATATAGACGACTGTTTTTCGGAATTTATGAAGAAAATTAGAGAAACTGTAAAAGCTAAAAAATATTTGTTTCAGTTGATAAAGCGAATGATGCTGATGCTCGGCACATGTGTAATATGGTCCTAGGTACTCTAGATCCAGATTTGCCCACCAGCGGCTGAGCGGTAAAGTCGCTGAACACTGGTAGTTCGGTCCGAGGTTCGAATCCTGCGAATGGGCTGGATGCAAGGACGTTTTTGTAGTTTTCTCTCTGTGTAACGTGTATACGAGCCAGTTTCCCTTAGAAAGTCCTCCACGAAGGCATCCCTCCCCTTAGGCAGATAGCCCTAGTGTGCTTTGCCGTAATCTCAATAAACCAAACCAAACTAGATTCAGATTTAGTTAACAAGATATTTTCGGAATAAGTGAACCGCTCTGCAATTTGTAAATCGTTTGAAAAATCATTACACATTTTATGGCGAAATCGCATACAAAACCATGACGTGTTGTTCTTTTTAAGCGATGCTACAACACGCATGGTTAAAGCGGGAAATCAACAGACTTTATTCCAAGCTAGTGCATGTAACATGTCTGGCTCATGCGTTGCATTGTCTCGCTGAAGGAATCCGTGCAAATTACCCCGATATTGACAAACTCGTATCTAACATAAAGAAAATCAGAAACTGCAAACAACTTAAATTTAAAGCTATCCGCGATACGCCGGGAAACAAATGGCAGTTTACACTCCAAAGTGCATTTGTTGTTTTAAGGTCCTTGCAATGAAAATTGCACTTATGAGTACGTTTTTGCTCTGAATGGAATTTATTTTTTTCATTAACCTTCAAATGAAGAATATATTTTGTGCATAAGAAAGGAAAAGGTTCAAAACCAAAATTAATATTTAATTAGGTAAAAATCCGACCTTAGGTTGGCATTAATGTTACGGAGGGGGGCAACTATGTCATTTTCGAAAGGGAGAGAAAATAGGTCCCTCTTTTGCAAGGTGCTTGCTTTCGCTAGACCGATAACATACTGTATAAAAATAATACCAATCTAAAGTTGTATGTTAGCCTAATTTTATAGTTGAAAATTATTTCCATTTAACCCTGTCTGAAGTTGCTTATTAGTTGCACTACCTAAAAAATATTAATTTCTTTGAAAAATGTCTTATTTTATGTATCAGTTTATTAAAAAACTTTATTTAATATTTAAGTGAAATCTCTTTTGTAGTAAGCCATTTAAAGATAATACCTTACATTTCATCTATTTGATAATGATAGTTTTGTTTCAAATAATCCGATGATTAGTAATAGCAGTTAAGCGTTAAATAGGAATAAAGAATGCAATTAAAACCATTAAAATTCAAGAAAATAATTTATAAAATCTACAACACTTACCGGAGAAAAGATTGCCAAGGATTGCAGTTATACTTGGAAGACTAGCAATCCAAGTAATTTGGCTGTTAGTTATATCTGTAAACCTGCTTCCTGGCCTCTTCATGTCTGCAGTTCCTGGAGCAGAAAATCCAGATACCATTCCTAATCCAACAATATTGAGAAGAGCTGCCATAGCTGCTAAGTGGGTTTTCCCCAGTTTCAAAGTTTTCACTAAGGGAATGCTTTCTACATTGCTGCGATTTTTATCTAAAGTATAAAGTTTTTCCTCTTGCACAGACATTTTACAGTACAATCAGTTAGAACCTTTTCTAGAAAAAAAGTTTAAGAAAGTTTTCTAGTAACATAGTTTCATATTATCAAAATAGTCCACCCGTTAATCACACGCAGAATTCATAATAGCGAATGTAGAACTGCACATTCAAAACGATGGGCTAATCTCAAATAATAAAAATTTCAATAATATTTATCTCCACTTATTCTGAAACGCCATCTACTGTTACTCTTTCGGAGTAATACAGATAATTTCGGAGTAATACAGATAACGAATAAAGTATAAAATTAAAATGATGTGTTTTTATCTCTTTTTATCGATCCTAAAATGATTATAAGGGTAATGAGTCACTTTCTTCATAGTATTGGATTCGAGTGCGTGTAAATGTACGCACCAAACACTAGTTTCAGATTACTTAGTTCGATTCAAAAGCGTTTGGTTTTACTTCATCGCTCAGTTTATTAGTAGTTCAAAAAGTTTTTCGCCGTTTTAAAGTAGCAGATATTTTCAAACGTTTTTTGATACTGAATTTTAAAATTAATTTCACATACTTATATGGTGTCAGACTGTTTTTCAAATTTTGAAGCAAACAATAAAAAATACATACCGTTACCCTGATAAATAAATTATGCAATTTTATAAAAACATATACTGAGATAAAGAGATTGTATGATGAAGATATTATTACTGTTTTCACATTTCCAAAAAATGTTGTAAATACGCAAAAAAACTGAACGCATATGTATTAAATTTAGTTGAAAACTTCTGTGTTATGAGTGTGTATCAAATAAATTTTGTATTTATTTCTTTTCCCCCCTTTTTTGTATTTCTTTCTTTTTTTATTTCTTTTACATCATAATAGTTTACAAAAGCAAAAGCAAAAAAGAAAATTATTTTTCCATATAGATTTAGCCAGAAATAAGGATTATTTTTTAGTTTTTCTATGGTAGATTTAGAGTTAAATTATCTAGATCTTACTTTCTATGAAAAATAAAACGTGTGGTAATCTGTGAATTATTCGAAAGGACCGTGATTAAAAGAATTGTAACTAATTTTTAAATTAATAATTAAAATTCTCCTTTTTTTTCTGTACTACATTATGAAAGTAACGTCATAATTTGCATGTACATCTTGCAGAAAACAAAAAAAAAAGAGGAGCAGTTCTATATCTCCCATTCTACTAGGTCAATAGACGGAATTTAATCTGAGTTTTTCGTGTCTTAAAAGTGCGACTTGGGATATGCATTAGATTTATTTATAGCATTATTCTAACATAGGTATTCTGACGCAATATCAAAATTTTTTTCTGAAATGGCATACCATTTTTTTTTACATATTTGGAGTTTAAGATTCAAATTATACCAAAAGGCCAAGTTTTGCAAAAATATCAAGGGTAGTTTTTAAAAAATTAGCTCTCAAAATTTTAGCTCCTCAGTGTTAGTTGAATTTGGTATATATTTATTAATATATCTTGTTTTGTTAAACTCATTAATTGATTTCTTCTTTTTAAATTCGAAATTTATGTTCAGTCCAAATAAATTTCGCAGCTATTTTCTAACTTTTTTTTTAAATTTATATTTTTAGTAGTTTTATAAATTTTTTAAAAACATTTTTTAATCATAATTTATCTTCATAAAGCAGATATATTTCTAGGCATACCTGCAAAAAATTAGAGTTTTTTTATTCAAAATTTCCAAAGATATGTGTGAATTTATATATTGGCGCATTTTGAAATTTGGCATATTTGCTATAAGCGATAATAACGTCAAATGTATTTTACTTTCATTGTTAAAATTATTTGAAAGAATGAACGATACACCTTTTTTTCCCGTTCTTGCACAGTGAAAAAAGGAAAAGGAAAATAGGTTCCTATAAAATTAAGAGCCCACCAGCGGCCGAGCGGTAAAGTCGCTGAACACTGGTAGTTCGGTCCGAGGTTCGAATCCCGCGAACGGGTTGGCTGCATGGGTGTTTCCGTGGTTTTCCCCATGTGTAACGTGTATACGAGTCAGTTTCCCTTAGAAAGTCCTCCACGAAGGCATCCCTCCCCTTAGGCAGATAGCCCTAGTGTGCTTTGCCATAATTAAATACACCACACCATACACACCTATAAAATTAAGAATTTCGCAAGGTAAATTATCCTTGGCGCAAACTTGGAAAAGTGCGCCAAGATAAATTTTTAAATTTCGCGGCAAGTTTCTCACCACATTTTACAAAATTTAATATTAAGGCATTTTTGAGTTGTTGAATTGAAATAAGGGTAAAAAGTCGGTATGTCATTTCAGAAAACTCCAATTTTTAGTCAAAATACCTCTGTTAGAAAAATGCTGTATATAAATCTAATATATATCTTATTTGGCGCTCTCGAGACTAGAACTATCTCCTTTTGGGGGGGGTGCAAGGTGTACGTGCCTTTTACCTTTATTTAAAAAAATCAAATGTATAATTCGCAAAATATTAACCACCTCTTTAGATAATTGATCTGTCACTGCATCTTACTAGACTTTAAGGAAATTTTAAATTGCGCAAATTTAACATACCTCATAAAAGTACTTGTTTTATTTGGCATCCTGAATTTGAATAAAAATTGTTGGTTAATTTAGATACTACTTTTTCCCTTTTATTATGACTCTTTTTGCTTCTCTGTTGTTTCAGTAATGACCAGTATAAGAAGAATAAACTGCGATCTTAAATGAATAACACATATAATTTTAATCTTGAGAGAAGATTAGTCGCAACTTCTTCTGACGCAGAGTCAGCTCACCAGCGCCCTAGTAGTAAAGTCACTGAATATCGGTGGTTCGATCCGAGATTCGACTCCCGCGATCGGGCTGACTGCATAGGCGTTTTCGTGGTTTTCCCCATGTATAACGTGAATATGAGCCAGTTTCCCTTTGAAAGTCCTCCGCGAAGGCATCTCTCTCCTTAGGCAGATAGCCCTCGAGTACTTTGACGTAATCAACTAAACCAATCTTCTGAGACAGAAGAGATGCAGGAACTGATTAGGGAATTCAGACCCTTTGGAGGCCCACTAGGGACCGAGCAGTAAAGATCGCTGAAAGAGGGTAGTTAGACCCGGATTCAAATCCCGGTGAAGCCCGGGTTCAAATCCCGGAGCTGCATGACATTTTTCGCTATGTGTAACCTGAATAGGAGCCAATTTACTTTAAAATGTCTGACACGAAGGCATCCGTTCCTTTAGATAGACAGCTCTCCTTGTGCTTTGCCATAATGAGAAATAATTCAGAGCCCTTTCTAAAGTAGTCCATATTTTCAAATGTAAGTATTGACATCATATTAACATTGATCTTTCATTTAATAGTGGAAGGTATGAAAATGCTAAATAACGTATTTTAATTTAATTTATGAAGTTCTGAAAGGAAAAGCTGTAATAAACTTAGAAAACATATCATAAACCGTAAGAAATGCGTAAAAGTAATAAATTCTGTATTAAACGAATTCGTTTAATGCATGGCCAGCATGCGTTATTCAAATAATAAACATTAATTTCTTTAATTTTTAAGTAGTAAATTTCACAAGAAAAATCCTCTTATATAAGTTCCCATTTTGGTACTATTCCGTTTTGAGGACCGTAAAAAAATTGCAGTGAAAATGTATGCGCAAAAGCGCCAAATCTAGCAAACGCGCCCATTTAACAGCGCGTTAAATCTATCGTACGCTCGCTGATTTCAAATTGCGTAAGTTTATATAGTTCTATATTTCTTAAGACGCCATTGAAATGCTAGTTTAATTTTTAAATCCTTTTGTGATTTTAAATCCTTTTTTGGTATCCTATGGATTTAACAATTTGGGAATTGCCCATGGCGAAAAGTCTGCAATAGAATTTTGGGTAAAGCGCAGAATCACCCACTACTTGACGCGTTTTTAAGAATTGCACATACTCGGTTTCCATGTACACATCGACCTATTTTCACTTTAAAAAAAAATAATCCCGGAATTGCACAAAAATGGCACTGTGCACACCCTTGATTTTATCTATGTACACATCGACCTATTTTCACTTAAAAAGTAAAAGAAAATTGACAAAAATCCAATTGTGTTTACCCTTGTAAAAAGCGGCAAACAAATAAGTGGGCGATTCTGCACTTTGCCAAGAATTTCGTCAAAGAAAGGCATCATTCATGATAGAAAATTATGTTTGAACAAACAACGAGATGAAATTATGCTTTAGCGATAACTCGGTAGCGAAATAGCGATGCAGGCATCCATTCAGTTATGTTTAGCAATTTTTATATAAATTATAATAATGGTCTGAAATAGTTATTTACTCTTATGCTTTCATTCAGTCATGTTTAGCCTTTTTTATATAAATTATAATAATAAAAAAGTATTTATATGAAATTAACCTTTCACCTAAATTAAAACATCAATCTTGGATAGTTATTTACTATCATACTTCCTTTCTTGCATTAGGGTTGCGGCAATTATTTTTGGCAGCACTGGCATCAACAATAGTTTGGCGATTTTTTACGGCCCTCAAAACCGAATAGTACCTAAATTTTTAATATGTTTAACACGTCAAAAATTTTTATTAATAAGGAATATTTTACCAAAGAAATTAATTGAAATAATAACTGCATAGTTAACACATTAATATTTTAAGTATAACTGATATCATACTTAATTATTCAACATTGTCGCATCGACATAGAAAGAGCAGATAAAGAAAAATTGATAAAGATCTATGCAGGATTTTGCTTCCTGGAAGGCCGATATATTATTGGAAAACTCCCTAATGATAACACTTAATTTTTAGTAAATATTTACTGAACCATTAGTTATTATATAATTTTCAGATAATAAAAATTAGTCTTTAAATGCTTACAAGAAATCTGTATAGCAATTATGTAACTGAAATAGTCACAAAAATTTGAATTTGAATAAATTTTATTAAACTATGAATTAATTTAATTTTCTGCGTTATTGAAATCATTAAAATATCAAAATTTTTTAAACAGTAGTACTGAACTAAGATCAAAAACTACAAATATATTACAAGAAGTTTTTTTTTTTTTTTCAAACTATTTTTTAATTACTAACATTTCTCTAAGTAAATTGGTTATCTGCAAAACAAAATCGAGGACAATTTACCGAGACTTTCATCATTGTTCCGTTGTCTGGATATTAAAAGAAATCTA